ACAACCCGTTAACGGGTCACCCCAACCCAACGACAAATCACTTGTTCAGGTCATGGGTCGAACCGACCCAAACCGGCCAGGATGACCTGAAACCCCCAGGTTGGACATGTCTACACTTCGACTGTCCTGGAAAAAAATATGGGGTCGGGGTGATCTGGCCCGATGGATGGGTCCTTGAATATTGATTTTGTCTTTCATTACGTGAAAGTAGAGCAAAGCTTTTTGCATTAGAGGTTCGATGATCTTACATATTTATTAGTGCTGTGAGACTAGAGATGGAGGAGGGCAGGGTTCCTGACAGCATGTTGGAGTGGAGAGAGCTGCCAAGCAGACCCCAGGAGGGACGGTGAAGGCACACTAGTGAGGAGATGAGAGAAGCAACGGTAGGAGACGAGGGAGAACCAAGTGCTTGCAAAATAAATCAGCGGAAATATATCGTTTTTTCTGGATACAGGAGGTTGACATATCATACGGACGAGAAAGGAATCAGGGAAGAAAGAAACAGTTAGGTCTCACAGGTATGCAAGTCTGGTCATGGAACCAATTTTAGCAGGGATGGAGCCAGAGAGCTGATTGTCATTGAGATACCTGTATGGAGATGGTCGAAAATGAGATGAAACAAAATATGAGGTATGTGTCCGCTTGGAGCGCAGGCTGTCCCTTCCTCATCGTCAGGGAGGTGCGCGACCGACCTCTTCTGAGTATTCTTGGGTGCCGGCCCGCGTTGCGTCGAATCGTCCAGCTGGCCTGCCGCCTCATGAGCGTGGACGATCGCCGCAGCGCCAGCCCCCGCAGCAGCATTCTCCTCGGCGTCGCTTCCCGGATAAACGCGAGTCTCACCACCACGGGGCTGGCGATCAGCTGTCTCCCGCGAGCCCCCGCCCTCCTCGCCACCGATCCCCCCAAGGTCGGGCAGCCCAGCGCTCACCGCGAGCACGATCCCCCGCGCAGCGCTCTTCGCGTCGATCTCCGGCGAGGCGGGGGAGGGGGTCACCTGGGCGTCGCTGGGATTCTGGGCGCCGCGAGGGCAGAGGGCTAAGGGATCCTCTCTCTCGAATGGTGATACAGAGGAAGATGCAAAACACAGGCCAAACAACCAAAGAAGAACCCGCCAACCAAACAAACAAACACACCTCTAACCTACTCCGCCCCCCCCCTCTGTCCGACCCTACTGGCCGAACGGGGGCTCAATCAGCTGGTGCAGCTGTCCCTCGCTCAGGGGGACGATGGGGCCCTGCATGCCGAGCTCGTCCGCTGCCAAGGCCTCGTTGGTCTTGGAACGGAGGGCATTGGCCTGCGCTCTCTGGAGGCAGACACTCCAGCGCTGGCGATACTCCGTCAGCAGCTTGGTTGCCTCGTATGAGGTAGGAGCTGCGTTGGATATCGCAGCTTGGCCGCTAGCTCCGTGCACTGCCGCAGGTAAGCCATCACCCCCGGGGAAGGATAGTCGTATGTCTCGGCTGCAAGGGCGTGGAAGCCCACCCACGCGTTCCTACGTGCATACTTCTCCTCCTTCCTAGCTGCTGCCGCTCTTGCCGCCCATCCTGGGGCCCTACTGCACTCTTCGTCCTGGTAGGACACGGGGTCAGTCACAGTCACGTCACACAACCACACCTCTCCCGTCAGGGGATGGCGGATGGTGACATCCGCCTTTAGGTTTTCAACGAGAGAGTAGACCTACGTTTCTTTGTGCACTGTGAAGCCCGCCTCCGCACCGATGTTTGCATTCTCATCTCTGAGGGCATGGTGCGTAGCTGTCCTCCCCTTCCCCTTCTCGCAGCGCAGGAGGTGGTTGGGGAGGCGGTCATCAGGGAACGTGGTGCGGTACCGGCAGTTGCAGCGCCTGGGCACGGGGAGGGGGAGGCCTAGGCGGAAGGCGGCTGCAGTAGAGAGCTGCGAGGGGCCCATCCGGAGCGAGGGGATGAGGGGGATCGCCAGCAGCCAGTCCCCTGCTCCCGGGCCCAGCACTGATTGCATCCGCTGCGCGTGGCCAGAGAGGGGGTTGGGGCGCATCCGCCTCGCCTCGTACATCACCCGCAGGAAGCGGCGGGTGTGAACCGCCAGCGTCAGGGACTGCTGCAGCTTCAGGCCCTTCGGCTCCGCTCTCCTTGCCTGGAGGGCCTCGAGAGCCTCGTGGGGGAGTGCCGCTTCAGCAGCTGCGAGGCATGCTGGCAGGGCGTGGGTGGAGCCGTGGGCAGAGTCTAGGAGGGGTAGGAGCTCGGCCACCCCTGGGTGCAGCGAGTCAGTCAGGGAGTTCAGGAGGTGGGCCGTGCCTATCACAGACGCGAGGTACGCGTAGCTCCCTTCAACCGCAGGGTCGGTGATGCCAAGCCCACCCAGTGTTATGGGCAGCGCCGCCTGCCGCCAAATCCGCCGCCTCTCCCTGATGCTCCTCGGGGCCATGATGTGAGCCGTGTCCAAGAAGGTGAGTAATAACCGCTCCCCCCATGCCGACCATGCAGCGTCAGGGAGCACCTCCAGCGGGGTGGTCCTCGCCAGAAAGGAGGCGCGCCGGCTGACGCAGTGGGTAAGGAGGAGGAGGCTGAGTTGGGGGTCCATCAGGGCCAGGAGGGGCAGGGGCTCCGCTGCTGCTGCCAGCCTCTCTCTCACCGCGCTTGCGCAGCCCTGGGGAGTGCCGACGGGGCTGCCAAGGACCTGCAGCCCTTCATCCGAGATGGTAATGCCTGGAGGCGCGGTGGAAGGGTCAACCGCGGAGGCTGACCAGACCGCGCACTTGGATGGGTTGTGAACCAGGCCCAGGGATGCCAGAGCGGACGCAAGGTGGTTGAAGGCCGCGGTGCAGGCCACGGCGTCGCCGAGAAGGGTAATGTCATCGGCGTAGGCGAGCAGGACCACCTGCGGGTGCGCCGCGGCTGTATCCGTGAGGCAGGGGTGGATGCTCGCCGCGAAAAGGAGTGGTCCGAGCGGATCCCCTTGGCGCACTCCTCTGGCGCTCTGCAGCGGAGCTGCGCCAAAGGCGTTGTCGAGGAGTAGCGAGGATGGGGTGCCGTACGAGAGGCGAACCAGAGGGATGAGGTCACCCAACGCCTCATTCCGTAGTCCCTCGAAAACCGCTCTCCGTTCCACCGCGTTGAAAGTGTTTGCAAGATCGATTTGCAGCGCCACAGCTTCCGGGTGGACCTCAAGGTACGTGCGAGCTGTGTGGATTGCAGCTTCGATTCCCCCCGCTATCGCCACCCCGAACTGCAGGGGTGCGAAGTGTCCTCGAGCAGCAGGAGCTGTCAGGAAAAGGGCTGCCTTAGCGACTATGCGGAGGAGGCACTCTCCTACCGCTATTGGCCTCGTCCCGCCCTGGGGCTTTGTGAAGGCTAGGAGGCGGGAGGCTGTGAGGAGTTCCGCCGCGTTGTCACTCAGCTTCCCTGCGAGCGCCGTGTTCGTGAGGGCCAACAGGTGAGTGAAAACTTCCTGGTTCCCTAGGGCCGCATCCCTAATGTGCTCAAAGGTGGTGCCTGAGGGGCCCGCTCCAACTCCGTTAGGGAGTTTCCCGATGAGCCGTCTGAAATCGCGGGGCTCTATGGCTGGTGGATTTTCTGAGGAGAAGGCATGCATCCAGTCCGGCAGGGACTGCTGCGCAGGCGGGTGACGTGCAGTGAGTGCCTCCAGCACTTCAGGTGAGGCAGGTGAGACAGGCGTGGCTTGAAGGGACTGGAGTGATTTCGACAAATTGCTGCGTATCGCAAGTCCTTCTGCTCTGGCGAGTATCCCGGTTGTGTCAGGTGCGTGGCGAGGTTGGGGAGGGAGGGAAATTGCTTGGGCGGCCTCTTCGTACAGGCCTGCCCAGAGCCCTTGGCGAAATCGGACGAGGCGTTCCATCATCGCTTTCCAATCTGGCTTTCGAGCTGACGAGGTGCGAAGTAGGATACGCGGGAGAAATGTCAGTAACTTCCAACCTGCTGCGGACTCTGGATTGGCTGCGAGGTGGAGCAATGGGGTCAGCATGCAGAATGCGAAGGACTCGCGATGGTCTTTGGGTGGGTGTCGTGCGAGTGGAGGTTAGCGACTGTCGCGTAGGGGGCCAATATCCCAATCCGCGACTTGGGCGAAAAGGTCAGCTCGCCTCGCCAGGTCGCCAGGTTTGAGCATTGGCGGGGTGGGATTCTGGCTGCTGGGGTTCCATTGGCTGATGCAGTGCGGACCCCGTCCAATGTCGCGCCTCGGTTTCCCCCGCTTTGCCCAATTCCACCTGCGGCCTGGTTCCTCCTCCCAGTGTTGTTTCCCCCTGCGACCCAATTGTGTGCAGCGGGACCACCCCGCTGGTTGGGAAATTTCGCCCCGTGCTGGAGAAGCTCCTCATCCTCATTGAAATCAGGCTCCAAACTCCCCTCTCTTTCAGGGTTAAAAACAGGGTCACCCGCTTCACTCTCGTCATTCTCTGCTTCCAAGTCTTCCCCGTCGTTAGCAGCCTCCTCGCCGCCTCCTGCGCCGTCCTGGAGTAGCCTCTCGGCCGTTCTAGCATAGCCGCTCGCCCCTGTCCGCCGGGCCCTACCTCCACGTCGGCCTCTCCCGCACCCATGTCGTCCGCGGCGGCCTGCGCCTCGCCCCACCCGTTTACCACGTGTTCCCCTTCCTCTGTTCGCTCCCGTGCGGCCCGCTTGAGGGATATCAGTCCCTTCGTCCTCGTCTTGACGGCGCGCTGGCGTCGGCTGCAATGGCATCGGGGGTGATGGACCCCTCCGCGGGTCGTGATCCAGCATTGGAGGGTACTGCAGATAGCGCGCTGCAGGGGCTGGAGCCTGCCGCCCGTCGTCCGCGTGCCTCTGCGCACCCCTCCGCAAGTGAGCCCGTCCGCCGCTTCGAGCGCGGGCTATCTCTTCCTCTTCGACCGGTTCCCGAGCCCCCCTCGCCGGAGTACTCGTGGGTTCCTGCTCAGGTTGCCTCGCACCGGCCCGCTGGCCAGCAGCGTCAGGAGCGCGGGCGTTCGCCGCCGCGTCAGCCGCCGCGGCAGCAATCTCCTCGCCGCCGTTCTCCAGAGCGTCGCGATGATCACCGGGACGGCGCTGGCGATCATCTGTCCCCCACAGGCCGTTGCTCTCCTCGCCACCAATCCACTCGTGGTCGGGCAGGCCAGCGCTCACCCCGAGCGCGATCCCCCGCGCAACGCTCTCCGCAGCGATCTCCGGCGACGTGGGGGAGGGGGTCGCCTGGGCGTCGCTGGGAATCGGGTCGCCGCGAGCAGTCCCCTCCGCGTCTGCAGTCGGCTGGTTCCGGAGGCCGTCGGGGCCGGCGGAATGGCGGTGGGCGTGGCGGTAATGGTCGCGGGCAGGATCCTGCCCTCGATCGTGCCACGAATGCCTTTGCGGAAGTGGTGCGGCAGGCGTGGGCGAGTGGGGAGCCGACTCACGTACACATTGCCATGACCAACGGTCCTCCCTTCGCCGCGGATCCTGGCCAGGTGGCTCCTCAGCGCGCGCCGACTCTGCGCGAATATCTGCCCGTGCGGGAGGGGAGAGCTCAGTTTCGTACCCCACGTCAGGTGCCGGGCTTCTCCGCGCAGTGCTTCTCGGTTTGCCGGACTCCTGGCTGTCTGACGGCGTTTCCGCGCGAAGCTCCGACTGCACCTCCCCCCACTTACTCGGGGAGAGACCCCATGCTGACCATGTGCCTGATCCTGAATCTGGCGGAGGCGTGCGAGGTGGTGGCGAACTTGCAACTGGCGGTGTGTGGGGCCACGCGGAACCTTCCGAGCAGTTACGGTCCAGGGTCCCGAGGATCCTGCGTGTCTTTGGCAGAATCGCTCGAGTTGCTGCTGGCACCCGTGTTGGAAGCGCCCGTCGGGGTAGCGCCCTTAGTGCGTACCTTCCCCCGCCACGTGGGGGATCTTGTTGGGGCTGCTCAAGTCGGCACCCCAGTGGACACGCTTCAGGCGTCGGCGCATCTCCTACTGGCGATGTCGGCGTGCATGCGCTCCATGCTTGAGGTGGAGGGGGTGGAGCCGTACATGATGTAGGCTTCCGCCGCGTGTAGTACTGCATCCCCGTAGGACTTGTTGTCGCCCGTCTCCCTTGCTTGTTTTTATTTTTCCTGTGTGCTCTCTTTATAAGCCGTCCCTTTGTTTGTTGCCTTGCCACCAGGAGCGCGCGGCCGAAGGCCGCCGGTGCGAGCCGCCGAAAACGAACACACGAAATAATGACAGAACCAGAGAGCCAGCACCCTTAAATAGGCAAGGAAGGATGAGGGAAGAGGGGAGAGGCTAAGGGGGTCAAAGGGGAAGAGGGCTGAGGGAAGAGGCCAGAGGAGAGAGACCTCTCTCTCTCGCTCTCTGAAGGCGCCGTTTTCCTAGCCACACAATGAACTAATGAGAGAATGAAGGCCTGAGGGGCCTTTATATAGCTAAGGAACTAAGGGGAAGAGGGCTGAGGGAAGAGGCCAGAGGCTAAGACCTCTCTCTCTCGCTCTCTGAAGGCGCCGTTTTCCTAGCCACACAATGAACTAATGAGAGAATGAAGGCCCGGGGGGCCTTTATATAGCTAAGGAACTAAGGGGAAGGGGGCTGAGGGAAGAGGCCAGAGGCTAAGACCTCTCTCTCTCTAATGGTCCTTGTATTGATATAGCAGTCAAGTACAAGCATGCAAGTCATAGCGGCCTAGATAACACACATGCAGGTCACAAGCATCACAGAACTACAACTCCACAAGAGGCTCAAGCACCGCGAAACAGTCCCCTAGATGCAACTCATCCCCAATTCCTCCCACGGGCGGGTTCTCAACCGCCGCCGCCTCCCCAAGCTTAAGCAGAAGGCCCACAGATTGGGCCCTTTGCAGGGCCACAGACCAGCGTTGCCTGAACTGGTGGAGGAACTTTGCAGCATAGAACGATTTGGAGTCGGCGTTGAAGTGGCGCCGAGCTGCAGTGTCCGCCAAGAGCTTCAAGAAGACTGGTACCTCTGCACACGGGCAGCCGTAGGTGTCCACAGCGAGAGGGAAGAAGGTCACCGTCTCTGGCAGGGAGGCGTAGTGCTGGATTTTCTTGTCCGCTTGCTCCTGAGCCGCCCAGCCCCTGCCCTTCTGCGCCTCAGGGTCCCTGATGCTAATAGGGTCGGTGATGGTGACGTCGCATACATAGACGGCCCCACTGCTTCTGTCTGTCATTGTAAAGTCGGCTGTCTGTTCCTCAACGGGGCAGTGCGCTGAGGACTCGCTGTGAACGATGAAACCCGCGTCCTGGGCCATACTGATGCAGGCATCGCGCAGCTCGTTGTGGGTGTTGATGCGATGCTTGCCCGTGCCGCAGCGGAGTAGGTGGTTCGGGAGGCGGGGGTCTGTGATGGCCGTGTGGTCCATACAGTCACAGTTCTTCGGCGTAGAGAAGGGAAGGGCCAGCCGAAAACGGACGGCATTGGAAAAGTGAGTGGGCCCTATCCTCCTGTTGGCCGCAATCGGGATAGCGGTCAGCCAATCCCCGGTCCCGTACCCAGTCAGTGAGTACATCCGCTGAGTATGCCCGCACAAGGGGTTCACCGCCATCTCCCGCGTCGCCTGCACTTGCACCGCGTATCTGCTCCCATGCACCCTTAGCGCCAACGCGTGCTGGAGCCTCGTGTCAGTTCGCTCCAGCCGTTCTTTCTCTAGGATTTCTCGCGCATCGTCAGGTAACGCCGCTTCGCACTCCGACAGCCACGTGTGAAGGGGCGTGGCGGCGTCCGCGGGCAGCTGCATGTGGTCCCGCGCCTGCGCCAGCGCGCCCTCAGGGGCGCCGTCTAGTGATGCCACGAAAAGCGCCGCTTGCGTGAAGCTCGCGGCGTACCCGTAAACTCCCTCGACTAGCGGGTCGGTGATACCTATCCCTCCCAAGGACGGCGGCAGAGACGCCTGCGCCCAGACACGTGCTTGCTCAGTACGGCAGGTGGGGACGCGAATGTGGCAGGCTGTGAGCAGTGCCGCTAGCAGGTCTGTCCCCCACTGGCTCCAGGTGTCGCGAGGCAGAAGGGAAAGCGGTGTTGTTCTGGTGAGGTATGCCACGCGCCTCGAAATGCAGCGGGTGAGCAATAACGAGGCTACCTGTGGGTCGGCTTTCTCAAGCAGTGGCAGAGGTTTGGCCATCTCCTGCAGCTGACCCGACAGGAACTGCGACGCCCCACTATCAGGGCCCACGAAGCTTCCGAGCAAGCGAACTCCTTCCTGGGAGAAAGGTACTCCGTGCGGCAATCGATCCTTCGCAGCATTTCTGCTCCATTGTGTCTCAGCCCCAGGTGTGCCAGCTTCCCGGTGAAGTGATTGAAAGCTGCTACAGTGGCAGTCGCCTCCCCCAGGAATGTGACATCGTCGGCATATGCCAGACACAGCACCTGGGGGTATGCTGCAGCAGTGTCACGGAGTGCCGTGTGCATTCCCGCGGCAAACAGTAGAGGGCCAAGTGGGTCCCCTTGACGCACGCCCCGTTCACTGATCAGTGGGTCCGATGCAAAATTCGCATCGACGAGTAATTTCGACGGGTTACCGTAGGTCAGTTTCACCAGCGGCAGTAGTGGCGACAACTCCGGTCCTTGTAACGCTGTCGCGATGGCCTGTCGTGAAATGCTGTTGAAAGCATTTGAGATGTCAGTTTGCAGCACGAGGCTGCTGGGTAGCTTGTCCAGATACGCGCGTGCCACGTGTATAACTGCCTCGGCTCCTCCTGGCACAGCCACGCCGTACTGTAGAGGCAGGAAAAAGGCACGCGCGGCATCTCCCATGGCTGCGAGGGCTGCTTTGGCTGTCAGCCGAGTGATACATTCGCCGATGGCGATAGGTCGAGCCCCCCCACCAGGTTTGGCCAGAGCTATGAGGCGCGAAGCTGTCAATAGGTCCGCCACCGGTGCTGGGAGGTTGCCCCCCAAAATGGTGTTTACCAAGGCGTGCAGATGGGTGCTAACTCGTCCGTTCGTGATTGCCGCGTCGCGCATGTGTTCGAATGTCGTTCCCGAAGGCCCGGCACCGACCCCGTTTTCGCACCTCCCCAACAGTTTGGCGAAGTCAGCGTGGGTGATGGACAATTTTGACTCAGGTGTGGGTGGCCACGTCGTCTGTCCTGACTCGGCTGGCGGATGTTTCTGTCGAAGCTCCTCCAGAATTTCTGGAGTTGGTTTGCAGACTGGCGTTGACTCCAACGCCAGCACAGCGCGTCGCAGGCTACCCCGTTTCGCCAGGCCCTCGGCCCGGCTGATAACCCCAGTTTCGTCAGGCTGGTGACGTGGAGGTGCGGGAGTGTTGACCGCTTCGATCGCGTCCTTGTACAGTTGGTCCCACTCGCCACGTTGAAAGGCTCGGAGCCGGGCCTTGATCTGGGGCCAGTTCGGTTTCCGTGGCGAGGTCTGGCGAAGCGTCAGTCGTGGCAGGAAAAGCAGAAGGCGCCAACCTGCCTCTGCTTCCGGGTTTCGCGACAGGTGGAGTAACGGGGTCAGCAGCGTCAGCGAAAACAGCTGGCACAAATTGGGCGGTAACCGCCTTGCCAGGGACGGTTGCCGGCTGTCGCAGAGGGCTGGGATATCCCAGTTCGCGATATCAGCGAACAAGTCTGCCCGCGTCGCCAACTCCTCTGGCGTAAAATAGCGAGGAGGATTTGGAATTTCTCGCACCGCTGCCGTGTCCGTCGCGGACGGATTTCTCCTGGTGCGGCCCGTCCTCCCTTGTGAAGGTACGGTTGGAATTTCGCCCGTACGATCGCCATCGGACGGTCCAGCCGCAGTGATCCCTTCCTCGCCTAGGGACCGCCTTGGTCTCGCTCCCGTCCTTCTCCCGTTCTCCTCTACTCCTTCCTCTGCTTCCGTCCCTTCTTCCTCACTCAAGGGAGTTGGCTCCTCACTATAAGAGGGGTCATTTTCTTCTTCTTCATTACGTAGCCTGATTAAAGCCCTGCTGGCCTCCCTCTGATAGCCATTCTCTGGCCCTCCTCCCCGTCCGCTCACTGCTTCTCGCCCTTCGCCACGCGCTCCCCGGCCTCGCGATGGTGATTGCTGGTGTGACCGATTACTCGCCAATGCGCGCTGACGCAGCGTCGGTTGTACTCGGAAAGCCGTCGTCTGCCTCAGGAGCGGGGACCGTGGCGACGGGCTCCCCGCCGCTGTCTGCTCCGACGCCCGGCCTAGTAGGCACTGAAAAGACTCCTCTCCTCGAATCCGCACTCCCTCTTGTCGCGAACGTGGTTGAGCCGTCTGCCCCGAGTGTTGCTCCTCCCGCTCCGCCTGTCGCGCCTGCTCCCCCTGTTCCCCACGTTCCTGCCGTGACGCTGGCGACGTCTGCCCCTGCCGGAGAGACCGCCGGTCCTCCTGTCCCTGTGCCTGGCGCTCCCGTTGCACCTGGCGTTGCTGTCCTCGGCGTGCCTGCGCCGGCGTCTGCGTCTTCGCCGAGGGCGGCGTCCGCCACCACTGGCGGCCCGGCCTCGGTGGTTGCCCCTCCGGGCGCGGATCAGCCTCCGCCTGTTCAACCGCCGGCGGCTCCAGTTGTCCAGCCGTCTCGTCCCCAGTCGCCTGACCGCCGCTTGTCCCGGCCCCATTCTCCGGCGGCTCCGCAGGAGCGCGAGACGTCGCGGCGCCGGCGTAACTCCCCCCGGCGCTACCAGCAGCAGGCCCCGTGGCCAGCTCACCCAGGTGGCAATGGGGGTTGGCGGGGTCCCCAGGGGCGCAGTGGAGGCGGGAGGTATCGTCCGCCCGTGACGCTGGCGGACCTCCAGCGAGAAGTGTCACGGGAGGTGTCGCGCGCCGTGCGCCAGGGGAGGGCAGCGCCGAGCCAGAGCAGTTCGCTGCGGGCTGCTCCGGAGCACGTGGCTCCCCGTTCGCCTGTCCCTCCTGAGGTCCCTCCGCCGGCTGCTGCTCCTCCTCCTCACGTTCCTGCCCCGTCCGCTCCTTCACCTTCCGTAGCGGCGCCGGCTCCCGGCTCCCGCCTGCATCTGCCGCCAGTTCCGCCTGTCGCGGGGGTAGAGTTCGTGGCAGCGGGTGGTGGCGCGGCGGCGGCTCAGTATGCAGCTGATGAG